TGTGCCGCTACTGCGGTCACGAAGGGCACATTGGTGCCCAATGCCCTAACCTCTCTGACGCCGCGAAGGCGCGCAACGCTGCGCGCGCTGCAGATGCCTCGCACGCGCCGGCGAAGCCGTCCTTCGCGGCGAAAGGGTAAGATCCCCCGCTCCTTCGTTCACGCGACTACCGGCTGATGAACGGGGCATCAACAGTCGCGCACAACGCAAAATCCTGCCGGTATCCGAACTCGCATCCCCGCAAACATCCCCATTCTCATTCCCTTCCTCTCCGCCTCAGTTTCTTTTCGCTTCCGGTACTTCTCTCTTTTCTCCTCAGCATTTCTTCGTTCCCATTTCTATTTCCCTTCCAAATCGTGTACCTATACATACATATGCCATGATTGACTCCGGTGCTTCGCATTCTGTCATCTCTCATGATTTCGTACGTCGCCATTCCATTCCTAAAAGAAATAAAGCCATTCCCGTTCCTATTGTTGCAGTTGATGATCGCCCTATCGCCTCCGGTTTAGTTACTCAAGAATCTATCATCTCTCTTACTATACAACAAAAATCGTCCACGAAAAACCGTCATTCTGAAATCATTGTACCCTCTGTAGTCTCTGTATCATATCCCATCATTCTCGGTCTTGACTGGCTCCGAAAACACAATCCCGACATTGATTGGTCCCGCATGCTCCTTACGTTACATTGCATCTCTCACGCCCACCTTACGTCCACTTCCCCCACCCGCCCGTCTTCGCCCCACTCCCATGCCGCTTTCCATGACTCCGATTTCGACACTTCCCTCAAGATCCCCGCACTCTCTCCGGACGACGTCTCAACGTCGCTCCACGCGGCCGCGATCCCCCACTCCCATGTCGCCTCTTCGTCCATCGACGCGTTGGATGGCTCCGGTCGCCCCTCGCTTCTCCGTTCGGGTTCGGATGGCTTCGGTCGCCCCCAATCCCCGATTCCTCGCACGCCGCCATGCCGACGCCATATTCGGACGCTCTCAGCCAAGAAATTTCTCAAGGCCATTCGCGACGATCCTACGTGCGTACTTTCTTCGTTCTCTTTCGACCCCACTACCCGCGCGGTCTCCTCCGACCTCTCCGACGCGTTTCGCACTCACTACGATGCCGTCGCGGACCCCGCCGAGTGGGACACTATTCGAGAGTCCATCCCGCCGCAGTACCGTACCTACCAAGACTCTGTATTCAACCCTGCAGAATTCGACCATCTCCCCCCACACCGTCCTTACGACGTCGATATCAATCTCGATCCCGACACCTCACCACCCTTTGGTCCGCTCTACCGCCTTGGTATCGACGAACGCGACGCCCTTGCAAAGCACCTTGCCGACAACCTCAAGCGTGGTCACATCCGTCGCTCCACGTCCTCTGCCGCTGCGCCCGTTCTGTTCACGCGCAAGAAGACCGGCGAACTTCGCCTCTGTGTCGACTTCCGTGGTCTCAACACCATCACTCGCAAGAATCGCTACCCCCTTCCTCTTGTCAACGATCTCCTCGACCGTGTTCAAGGATCCAAGATGTTTTCGGTACTCGATCTCAAGTCCGCCTACTCCCACGTACGTATTAAGGAGGGCGATGAATGGAAGACAGCGTTTCGGACGCCACTCGGCCTGTTCGAGCATCTGGTGATGCCGTACGGTCTCACAAACGCGCCCGCTGCCTTCCAATCCTTCATCCAAGATGTGCTGCACGAGTATCTGGATATCTTTTGCGTCGTTTATCTTGACGACATTCTGATCTTTTCAGCTTCACCTGAAGAGCACGAACGACATGTTCGTCTTATCCTCGACAAGCTTCGCGGTGCAAAGCTCTATGCCAACCCGCGCAAATGCGAGTGGCATAAGACTGCCGTTGAGTTTCTTGGGTTTATTATCAGTGCTGACGGTGTTCGCATGAACCCACACAAGCTCGACACCATTACTGATTGGCCAGAACCTGCGTCTATCAAAGACGTTCAATCGTTTTTAGGCGCCCAATTGAGGTGGAAGTCGTAGTCGGAAAGAAACATTGACCATCGTGCTTGGCGACGGTTGAGAGGTTGGGTTTGCATGAAGTATTCGAGGTTGCGGTGATCGGAAATGACAGTGATGGGGTGTGGTGAGCCGAGGAGCCATGCACGCATGTCGCGGAACGTGTCGACGATGGCGAGAAGCTCCTTGTCGTGGACTTCGTAATTGATCTCAGCGGGCGAGAGCTTGCGAGAGAAGAAGCCGACGGGATGAAGGGAGCCAGAATCGTCAGGTTGCTGGAGAACGCCGGCAATCGCAAAGTCGGAGGCGTCGGTGATGACAGTGCAAGGGCGGTGGGGGGAAAAGTGTTGGAGGACAGGTGCGGTGACGAAAGCGTCCTTGAGCGCGGCGAACGCAGCGCGCGCGGGGTCGTCGAGGTGAAAGGGTTGGGGAGAGGAAGAAGGCTTGGTGAGTAGGGTGAGAGGAAGAACGATACGCGAGAATGCGGGAATGAAACGACGATAGAAATTGGCAAACCCTAAAAACGATTGAACGTCTTTGATGGTGTCATGGGCCTGGCCATAGTCCATATGCGCGCCCACGCATCGCTATCTGCTCGCGCCGATGCTATCCACGCGTTTCGCTATCTGCATACTCTTTTCTGCTATTCACGACGCTCCTATTACTGTACGTTCTCTTGGCCTTCGACTCATGTTCTCCACTGTATTACTCTACGCCATTCCCATGACCGTCTCCGTGATTCTAGGTCTTCTGCAAGCTCCTGTCTACAGTAGTATATAGCTTCCAGCCTTACATTGTCTCACGACAGCGATCAACGCATTATTCTTTGTCCTCGCGTCTCTGCCCTTTGCGCGACCATCACACATGTCTCTATGTACCCTCCCGCGGCCCCCCTTCGGCCAACTATGGGTCCACTGCCGAAGCTGTTGGAATCTGCCCGCATACTTAGCAAGCTCGGTCGTACGGTACCAGCGCTTAGTCATCCCGTAGATAGCCGCCGCCCCTCGTCCCGCACTCGCCTCACGCGTTTGCCCTTCCCCACCACCTCGTTCTCCCCCGCGTCCGTCTGTACTCGCCTCCCGGTGCCCATAGGGACCAACCGCGTAGCATCGATTGCCTTTACCCTTGTCCGACCTCGTCCGAGCCGCCGACTTCTAACAGAAGCTCCCACATCGATTATGGAGTATGGCCAAGATCTTCACCCCGTGGGTTCCCACTGCGGGCGATGTTCACCCAAAAGCGGGTGGCGCTTCTCACCCCGTGCATGATCATTTAGGCTGTTTTACGGACCCTAGTGACTCCGAGGTCTCTGATGGGGACGACGACGGTCGGCGCCCTGCGCTCGGGCCATCGCTCACTTCCAGTGTGCTGTTCACGAGTGCGCCGTGTCCTGGCTCTGATCCAGTAGTTCCAGAAGCCACATCCTATCACTCGCCGGTCATTGCTACGCTCAGACACTCCATCCTTATGCAGCTTGCCGACGTCCAGGCGTCTCGCTTCTGGTCTGCGTACAGGAACCTCGTGGCGCCGCTGCGCAATCCTACCGTTGCCGTGACTGCCGAGAGCCTCAAGGACGTTCTCCTTTCTCGAATGAACCCTCCTCCTCCCGCACAACAAGACTTCACGAGCGGAGCTAGCTCAGAGCCGTTGCTTGGCCCGCGTCTACCCACACTGGATGCCGCCCCCAGCATAGTCGCTCCCCACTATCTGTTTGCTCAGCCCTTTGTGGAGGAAGAGATTGCGGGGCTCAAGGTACACCTCAGGGACCTTCACCACTCTGCGACAGGGACAGACGGCATTAAATACGAGGATGTTGTTCGAATGGACAACACGGCGGGTTCCGACGCCGACGAGCTGAACGGCCCCCATATCGGTGGCGGCAAGTGCGACGACCCGGAGAGCGAGCGAGCGAGCGAGCACAACATGCCGATGAAGCTGCCTCACCCTTCCATAAAACCGAGAAGACGAGGCTCCAGCTCCGAGTACCACAAGCAGACGGACTACTGCGCAGCATTAGCAGGGATCATGAGCTCAAAACCAGGACCTTTCGCGATCTCGGGGCACGTCCTTATGGAACCCGCGCAGCTCGCGCTCTTCTTCAGAACAAAGGTGCGTGCTCATTGCACTGCACAGGGGATAATGTGAAGGGTTTCTGACCGCCGTGCCCCCGTGCAGGCTGGGATCAACTACTCGCTCGACTTCCCGATCGACGTTGATGTGGACATGCCACCCACGCTGAACATGCTCACCGCCTCGTGTCTGTCGCATCCGACGGTAGACGGATACGCCGCTGAGAACCCTCCCGCTCATCGCGACGCTCGACCTTGCGAACCACCCTATCCTCGACGCCGTGCGCAACTTGCCCTTCCGATTGCTTCCCGTAGGCCACTACCTCACCGTCGTGCAGTACAACCTCGAGATCTGGCCGAAGGGGAATGGGCTCGTCGTCCAGCCACCCCCGCCCGACAGCCGTGTCGCGACGATCCTCGTCACGCTCCCCGTCAAGTCCCACGGCGGGTCGTTGCTCGTGTACAACACGGAAGGGCGCGAGGAGAAGTTTTACGGGCGCGGCGCCAAGGATGCGGGCCTCGAGTGGACCGCGCCCATCGTCAGCTGCGAGTACGAGGTGTAGCCGGTGTGTTCTGTCGCGCGCATCCAGTTCTTGGATGCGCTCTCCCCAGCACTCAACGCGTTGCGCAGGCGCAGGGTCGTATGCTACCTCACTGCCGACTACGGCTTCAACGTCGTCGTGGAGTGGTTGGTGCCTAGCGTGTTATACCACACGCTGAAGATGCGCAAGTTCAGGCCAGAGCTGCGCCGGACCGCGGGTGGGTATATCCGGCCCATGGACCAGAGCACCCACACCCGCTGCCCCCTTCACCACCCATTCACTCCATTTCGTTCTCATGATGGCTAGATTCCTCTGGCTCGCTCCGGCCCCTGCGGGGCCGACACGTCATCTGTCCCGTATATGCACTTCTATTCTCGCTAGTAACGTTACTGTACGTAGCGCCTACCATAGGGCTCGGCCCTCCAGGGTGTTG